ATTAACGGTCGATTACCCACGACATTACAATAATGTGCTATATAGGCTAATATATATTTTTCTGTTCTCATTAGAAAATGTACTTACAACTTATGCACTAGATAATTTAACAAACATATAGAGAGATAAACTTTCGTATTTGTAATTGTAGTAATAGATAGTCAAAATAAAATTTATTTAATAATTTGGGATAACTTTTTAAATACAAATTTGTTAATATTGTCTACTATTATTGTTATTATATACCCCAAATGACGTAGACAGAGGCATTCTTAGCCGTCGATATCGTGATGAAGGGCACATGGTCGCATTTATTTGTTAATATGTATTTGAATCTTATGTTATTAATACGTGATTGAGTTAAAGCTTTTTTGGGAGTAATTTTGTTTTCATCATCGGACTTAGACAGTAATATAAAATGTTACATAAAACTTTGAGCTCAGTCAGAATCAAACTTAGGACCTGGAGTCGGAGTTATAAACTATACAACGACGCTATCAAAAATAGTTCGGAATAAAATTCTCGTAAAAATAAGTGGATGTACTGTGTAAGGGTCTTTTATTTCAAATTTGATTTATATTATAGTTCGAAATTGCAATTTGAAAGCCAAAATAGATCATAAAATATTAACATCGAATGTGGAAACAGGTTAAATCAGTACCGATCGTGGTTCTTCGCCGCCCCAACCTCCATAAATCAACGGTGGTGCCACCATGCGGCAATATGGGGAACAAAACATGTGTTTACTCCGAAGTTAATTTGTCGAATTTATCTGCCTTGTCTTTGTTCTATTATTGTGAAATATTGTACTATGTGTTTGTTTGTGCACTCTCTAAATTGTAATTTGTTTTAAAATAAGATTTAGTTTTATATCTATTACCTAAAAAAATATTTGATAAAATTATTAGTACAGTACATTGATATTGATACACAGTGTTTACTGTATGACGTATTTATTCAAAGTTATCCTGGATTTATTTTAAATCTCAATAATATACTTACATATTTACTTATAATTTACATTATATTTTTTCAATGCGTCCACTAAAAATAATAAGGTAAAAAATATTGAAAATATTATAAATTATCATCGAATTTAATTTTTTTTTATTTCATGTACTTATGTTACATATTTCATTACTTACAATGATAAGTAGTATGATCTGTAGTGAACAATAGGTTTATATTAATACAATGACAGCGATCAAGATATACAAACGAGTAACTATTTTAAATAATTATACTAGGCACTTGACAAACTCAAAGATAAACACACCATTAACGATGTAGTCTAGTATGACTTCGCACCTATTAGTCATCTTGTCTGCAGTTATAATAATGTTTTTAACTAGCATTATGCATACAACACTAATTTAATATGAATGACATACTATTAACCTATTCGCTTTCGCCGGAATACTCACATTCTTTCCCTTCTCCATAATATCCTTTATAACCCTTCAACTCCTAACTATCTGAAGGAGCGGTTTGTTTTCCTTCATAGCTCTAATAACGCCAATCTTAGGTCATCGGAGAATCTCCAGTTAAAGACACCAGTACATCATACTGCTTTTTACGACATGTCCTTCACGGTACTTGCTGTCCGACTATGGAACGATCTGCCACTTCCCATACGTAAATTGACATCACTGCCTGCTTTTAAATCGAGCGTTAAAAAATATTATTCACGAAACTTATCTGCATAGTAACGTCGCTATTGTATAGATATTATTTAATTTATTTGTATGTATATATGTATGTATATATATGTGTGTATGTATATTTTATATATAATGATTATTATGTAGTTATATGTATGTGTATATGATATGTAAATTGTACATCCAACAACGAATTGTTATACCTCGACCAGACACAGTCTAATCACTCCTCTCCATCCTAATTGGAAGAAATCGCTATTTAGCGATAAGGCCGCCCATTGTTACCTCTATATTATAATTATTTTGTTATTATTTTCATATTTAATGTACATATTAATTTATGTAATTACTCTTTCTGTGAGAGGAACAATAAAGTGTTTTTCATTTCATTCATTTCATAAGTGGTAAATCATATATGATTATTAAATAAAATCTTAATAAGTTAAAAATCGTACATAAGTATTTTTATACCACAGTTGTGGCAGTAAATATGAGTATAGATAGATTCCACTCAAAATCTGGCGGGTAAAAATTCTTTGGAAGATTTTTTACACTAAAAAAATCAAACAATCTGATGGTAAACGGTTATGTACTGCCTGAACTGCCTGAACACTGTTATTATATGAACAGATATAGATACTGTTCGCATTAAAAAGTTCGCAAATTTTTAAACAAATAGTAGTATTCAAAACATCCGCCAAACAAACACGATGTGATTAAATTTAAAGTAATTGATTGCATATTTATTATTTTGTTGCAATAATCTTAAGTTAGTAACACCCCTATAATACGACTATGTAACCGGATCGAATGTAATACCATCCAAAGAAACCGTCAAATTGATAAAGCTTGGTATTTACACCGTGGTAATTTTAACAATCGCAAGATGCACAGTGGCAACACCAATTAATCGGCACAGACGAAATCGTCAAACGAACCCCGCCACAATTTGAATAACCAACCAAGTCACGTTCACCAAATAAGCAGTGCTAACAAGCGGTATATCGCTTGCACTGATTGTTAATTGATTAGATTAAAAATTTTGGCCCAATTCGCGGCGTATTGTTACACTGGGGGACCGGCCCTGAGGATTAATTAGGCATTTTTAATAGGTACAATATCTTTTACAATTTACAAGTTGACGGGCTCACTGTGGGTTTAAACAATTTCGTTTTTACACAATGTTTATAAATTATAATACTTTCAAATACAATATACATATTTTTATATTTCTAAAAGTAATAAACCAGCTACTTTAAATCTTATATTGGTACCTATAGTTAGTTATTGGATTTTGTAGACTTAACAAGATCAATATGTGCAATATATCGGTGTAAATTTTCTTAAATTCCCTTCCTAAATCTTTATAGCTTACGTGAGTATATTTGAAACTTCAGAATTTACCCCCAAAATATTTGGTAAGACAATTTTGACGCCCCTAAATGCTCATGTTTTATAGTCTCGAATATTTTTATTTGAGCTAGGACGGCCCGTTTGAAAATTGAGTTAAAATGACAGTGGCATACGTAGTGATTCGCCCCGTGGTCGCATTAAGCGCATTAGGGGCCAAAATTGGATTTGTCGTGGGGTGTTTTATTGGTACACTTGTTACGAATTTACGAACGGCGTGTGTGTTAAAAAAGCTCTTTGTCAAGGTTTCGCGGAATGTAAAGTGAGTTATGGGCTGATTAGGGAAACCAATATTTTCTTTATTTTCTTATTTGTCTCTACTCTACTTACGAGTAAGTAAATTTATAAAATGATGATTTATATGAAGTTCTTAGTTTTTTAAGAAAAATAGTTTAAAATAGCGAATGTAAAATACAAAAGAAATAGATCTGTATGATGGTTTGTTTCCTATATTATTTTCTTTATAGAAATAATCTATGTTTATATTAGGAAAATGGCTAGTTAGAAGCATGAAGTACATCGAATGTCAAAATCATTTAAGTGTAACTTTTTTATCAATATTTTAACCAAAACTACCTTCAGTTACTGCAACACATACAGAGTGTGGCAAAACATTTTATGTAGAGAAAAAATGTTGCCTACAATAGACAAAAACACGGGGTAAATCACAAGCATTGGGAAGCGAGGCGTGCACGCAAATAAATGCGCCTTGGGGACACTGATTCACCACAATATGTCAAACAAATATTACCTATTCCACATTGAGAAAAAGCGATTGTTTAGCTCCACATGTGGCTCGTTACTTATTATGGTCTTTTATGTAAGTCGTTGTTTTATAAAGCCTTTGCATTACATTTTTATACATCATATAGATAATATAAGCATAAAAATAAAGCAATAAATTATGTGCCTTATTATCTCTGATCAACGCGACCGAAGACTATTAGAGAATGCTATCAGGCATTAAGTCCGCCAATTAAACAATTTTGTATGTAAAAGAATAAATAAATTAATAAAAAATATTCTTTAAATATAGTACTTTACAGTAAGATTTAATCAAATCTATAACTTTGTTAATTGTAACTATATATTTACAATAGTACCTACCGACATGATAATTTGTTGTACAGTCTGTACATACACCTAGGGTGCGGTAACAGGGTTAGTACCGACAATGACTTGACGAAGGAAAATCAGATTTGTCAACCCTCCACCGTTATTTTAAACCTACTCACTCATTTTGCATAACTATGCAAGGGTGGGAAATATTAAGTCTAGCGTTCTTGGATTAGATAACAAAGTATAGTAAAGTTAAGTAAAACATAAAAGTAAAATCGTTTTAATTTTTATAATAATGTCTGTATTTTGATGATTTTCTCTTGCTACCCTATAAGGGCCTATAATATGCCAGGTGCATGAAAATATAAATTACTTAAAATTGTAAATACGAATTCAATGTATCGTCACTTCATTTTATCCTAAGAATATCGTAAGAGCCCATGAGGTCAACATTATAGAACATTACATACAAGTCAAGAACGACTCATAATATAGATCAATAATAAACCATCTGACCAGTACAGTGAAGCCAGGATAATACTATAGTACCATTTGAGGAAAACTCAAAGTAAAGCTCTATACCAAACTGTCTGGCCAGTTCAGTTATATTGGAGGATAGAGATAGACATAGAGGAGGAGGCAAGAGAGACCGATTGAGTTAATAAATTAATGTGATGGTTATAATAATTTTTTTATATCACAATAATGGCAAACAAGCAGACGGGACGTCTAATATTAAACGGTTTCAGTATTATATGCACGCTTCGAACACTATGCCCATAACGTGAAATTTGCCAATACTTATAAAAGCAATATATCTTTACTTAAGAGCGCATAAAAGGTCATATAATTATGTTAAAATCTACAAACCTTTTAATGCTTTACTGCTAGGCGGAGGGTCTCGGCTCCACGGAGGATCTCCGTGTCCAGAGAAGTCTCTTAACTTGAGGTAACTTATGGTCAGCCTTATGATAGATGCCTTGTCCAACTGGCTCGTGATGGCGGCAGGGAGTGGCAACATTTTTGCGAGTTCGTAAAACTCGTAATTTTCTTTTCCACGTCTGGAGCGAGCCGCGTCCCGACTCTTCTCTTTTCGAAGTTCAAGGATGCTGTAAAGAAAGATGAAGGTTAGTTTGTGTGCAGGAGTATTCTTTATATAGTTTAAAGTTGCATGGTATACATGTAAATACCGAACTTTGTGTAAAAGGGCAGCAAGAACTATTTTGTAATACATATATAACTGGTTAACTACATCCCGTTGTGCTACCCACGTGAATGAAAACAGAAAAGATTACTGGAAAACATCAATTACTGACTATTGAAAATATTATTATAATGTATACTCTTGGTGACTATGTATTTTTAGACTTGACTATGTATTGTATATTTATATATATACAATGGAAAATTTGCTTACCCTATTTTATATCTACATCGCAATTTTAAATTTTTGTGTGATATATTTCGTTTTAGCCTTTACTTGCAAACAAGATTCAAAATGGCATAGCAGCATTATATAGGTGAGGTCTCATGATATGATCTACAATTTATAAGTGTGTGTTTAATAAATATATCACAAATATATTCCCGAGCATCATCCGAGTGGGAGTGATGAGAGGGCACGCCCCACCACGCCTTCAGGCGGGGCTGTTAATGACCCAATGTTTCAGCGTGTCATTTACATTGCAAATATACTCAATTTACATTAGAGGTGAGCGAGTTTACTCACTTTGTAACCTTTTATATAGTTCCTTGTTGATTTATTTTGTTTCAATTTGCTTAAAGTGACAATGTCACAAAACTGCTATGATACTAAGCAGATATAGTAGGTACTGGTAAAAAGTACATTATAGAATTGGCAGTTTGATATATACCTGTAGAAAAGAAAAATATGACCAATTGATCATCAGTATTGCAATAATCTGTATTCAAAATACCAATAGGTTACAATATTTTTCTTGTGATTAGCTTGCTCTCCATATGAATGGCAGAATAGAAATGATACTATCCAAAAATCCTGTATATTAAATTTTCTATTTCTATTTCTATTTCTATTTCTATTTCTATTTCTATTTCTATTCCTATTTCTTTTTTTGTGAACCTTTTTGAGAGATTTGCAGGTAGTTTAATTATTTTTATTAAATTAATTAATAATTTTTTTGTTCAGTGTACAAAAAGATCTGTTGAGACATTTAAATTGGTATTTTAACAGTTTATTAATACTTAACTATAGGCATGAAAATAATATTGTTATGAAACTACCTACTACCCACTTAGTTGTATTTAACACGATTGTGGTGAATAATAATTGGATATCTTTCTCGTTTAGTTTAGATTCTCTTCTAATGATTTTAATTACAAAATAAACCAAACCTATTACATAAAATTATTTCCCGAAGAAGGTCTCGATTACACGAATAGTAACTTTAAAAGCTCAGTGTACCCTTGATTTTGTCGTAGACGACTAAGGTCTAACGCACCCACTGACTAATGAAACACGAAGCACATCGCCTTTACAGTCAGGGGTGCTAAACCTAGCCAGTAGAAGGTGCATCGTAAGCGATCCAATGATGGGTCTGGTTTACGATCGGGCGCGATTACAGCCGCCTAGCTCCCACGAGTCTGCGTTTATTGACACCTGAGTAAGGCCATTCCGAAATGGACGTCTTCATTCTTCTGTTTACGTGTTGACGGTTTTCTCGTTTTGATGGCCCATTTTCTTTGTGTGATTTGTTTTGTCCTTTCGACTTATGGGTAGTGAAAACTTTGTTTTGTTGTGAATATAAACTACTTGCTTGAAATAAATGACTAAATCAATATTCCTTTAATAAAATAAATAATTTAAAATAACTGTATACGTACTATTTTTTTTATATAAAAGATTAATAAATATAAATCAATATCATTGTTATAACAAACTAGATGAACCAGTTTTATGAGAATCTATTGTACATTAAACTGAATAATTTTCTTCAAGGAGCATACATAATAGAAAGTCAATGCAGTACAGGATAAATTTTTTTATCAATTTTTCAGTATATTTTTTTAATGTATTAGCTTTTTATACATATACTGCAAATCTTATAAAGAAGATTAAACTCTTGTTCCTATGACAGACGTGTATGTAGATATTAAATTTATTACCAACGAGATATAATATACGATATAAATTTATCAGTAAACAGTAAAAACGAATAAGTATACCTACAAAATCCTTATCACAACACAACTACAGCTCTGGGACTAATAACTCTTAAAAATAAAGAAAGCCTAAACAAACCCTTTCTAGATCAAATATCTCGATAAACTTTTGTACAGTTAAAGCATAAAACGAGCAAACCATTGTGCTTGATTTAACGTCGTAGGGTTTGGTCAGTTTTAGTGAAGCAATCGGGGGACGGCTATTAGATTGTTTAAAATAAGTTTAGAGTGACCGAGGGTTGACGGCCCCTGCCTATTATGGACTATTGTACTACTCATTGTTTTTATTAAGGGGTGTGTTATCGTAAGTATTGTGATGATAAAGTTTATTAGAGATTCAATTATGATAAAGTAACTGTAAAGTCTTAAGGATAAGATTTGAAGACACAAAAATTTTGTCATTTTGAATTTGGCCGTCAATCAATAAATTTTGCGTGCCAATTAATATTTCTGACTGATTCTTCAGTTTTTCTTAATTTATTCTAGAGTCGGTGGAAGGCTCCTTATTACCTGTATGAATTCAAATATACACAGGAAAAAATAGGGAGAAGTCAAAAGCCTATTACAGTTATTACCACATTCAAGATAGTTACGACAATTATCTCAGATATGATCTAAATATCATCAATTACCATTTTTTTTCATCTAGGACACATTAGCAAATAGGACAGGATAAGACAGCCTCAAACTAAGTAGATCTTATCTTATGTTTGACACTATGTGTACTAAATAACTGAATAGTAATCAATAAGATACACAGAAAAGCTGCCATAGTGAAATATTTTGACCGTGCGAGAATAGATCACGCTACCATAAATCGTGTACTAAATCGCTAAATCACCAAGGCCGACGAAATCGGATAAGAATGTAATATTAATGGGAAAATAGAAAAAATGTATACATTATTCGTAAATTGCATTACTGGTCTTATATCCGCAGAATTACGCGATAGCTGTTTAGTTCTGAGAGACATTAATTTGACAACGGCCCCTCCGAAATAACTTAATATACTTCGGGCGTACTAATATTCTGCTATGTCAATTTGCCTTATGATATATGGTTACGCGGGATTAGGTACGATGTCAAGGAGTCAAGGGTGATCTATTGTTGTGAGCACAGCATTTTGTTTATAGACTATATAATTTTATATTTTCTAACTAAAATAATTTAGGATTGCGAATACTGATTAGACTATTTGCTTTTGCAGTGGCATGTGCTGGTGGTCACTCTGTTCTCCCATGTTTGAATTTAGTAATTGATCTGAGTTGTTGTAGACATGTATAATATTGATTTGAAAAGAATACAAGCTGAGTTTCATGTCAGTTCTTCTCATCACGAAATCATCCCGAACTGACGGTACATTTGACATATCATAAGAGTCTGTAATAGACCTACTTGAATAAAGATATTTTGAATTCGAATTTGAATTTGATGTTAATGAGTTTGGTATGATGTTTTAAAACTATCATAAGTATATATAAGAAAGCAATTAGATATTAAATAATTTAATAAATCTCGGGTTCGATATCGTCTTGCATTGGCCATGTACCTACTGTTTGTTTACTTAGTTTGGGACTAAATAAAGTTGTGTGTAGTATGTGTATTCAATAAGAATTTATTTACGATTTACTCAAATAATTCGAGTTAAAGTTAAAAATTATTACGCCTATTGCGCCCTATTGACATATCTAATTGTTGTAATAAAAAATACATAAAATTTTATGAAAAAGTTGACTATTATATGAAAAAAACCATGGTAAGTTTTATATCTGTTCTAAAATTTCACTTTGAAATTCTGTCTGTAACTCTGTCTATTAACATACTGGCAGTAAATAAAAATATTTAAACCCATTAAACTTATTACATCGCTTCAAACGATTTGAACTATTTTTTTTTTTAAATAAAAATAACACTCTATTTATAATTGACATGCTGGCACCTGAGAATAGAAATGTAATTGTTTGGCTGAAAGAAAATTTCCAGGGCCGTAAAATACTCAATAAAAGAAAAGAAATAACATTTGATTTTATAAAAAGAAATTCCATTTGAAATTTAAAAAAGGAATAAAAATACTTTTACTATTTCATTTGTAAGTATTGTAGAACAGAGATTTCGTTTTCCATGGTTTCCCGACAAAGTCTATCGTAATGGTTTTTACGATGCATTCGGGACTTTTACACCTAAATAGATAAGTAGTTCACGTTGTTGAAGTTGGCTTTGTTTTAGTTCTTTCGGTATTTTTTTTATAGAAATGTAACTATTATAGCTGCATAAAATTAGAGTTTAGTTTAACTGTTGTAGATTTTGAAGAGTGATAATACCTACATACGTTCAGAGGAAAATAATAGACATACATATAAATGGATTGCAACTTTTACAACTTGATTTTTAAAAAACACTTAATAAAAAATAATTATATAAAATATAAAAGAATTGATTTGTATAGGTACAATAATATATATGATTACAGGAAATTTAAAACATAAATTACATCCTAAATTTCTAAAATTGGTTTGTATTAAATATGTATTTATTGCATAAGTAAAAAAAATAAAGTATACTCATTCTATAACTTCTCGAGTATTTTCTGTCCTGTCCAATTTTTATGACGGACCTCCCTTCATCTTAGAAGTGGCTGTCTTTAAGTGTACACGTACGTGTCTCGACGCCCCGTACACCTGGGAATCGAACCCACAATACGCTACTAACGCCTTGACCCCCTACCTAACCCACCCCTACATACATACATTCAGAAATCAACCTCATCGCCTTATCTTCAAAGATCTATTTGAAAAATACTGAAGGTTTCGAACCGGTCAGTGATGATTGGTCAGTTGCGACAGAAAAAGGTCGTATCTCCTACATATGTTAGTTAAAAATATATCCTTATTGCACCGCTTTAAGATTT